TGTGTGAAGGGCAAGTTAGAGCTGAAACCCACCCGCAACACAGCAGGGGCTGTTATCACAGTCTCCCCTCAGTATGCCACAGACCACAGACCCTCCCATTAAAAGATATTACTCCAGCCATTACCTCCAACAATACTTGCAAACTTACTAAGTAATTAAATTGTGCAGTGGAATGAATATCTGCCCAACAGTCCGCATGCATCCCTTTAGTGGGGTGCAGTCTTGCCTGCCAGCTAATATCCTGGCATTCTGACCTCACATATTTTACTCAGGAACCAAAACACAGGCTGGTTAAGGTGCAGTTTCCACTTTAGCGAGCGGTCCAACTTTGTCAGTCGAGGCTGATCTGTGGCTGTTGCTGGAATGTGATGCTGCTGCCAAGATTCACTGTAAAAAAAAAAATAGAAGAAGAATTAGGTGGGATTTCCACATTCCTGAAAAAGTTACATTTGTGGGAGAGACGCCATGTAATAGAGCGCAAGAGGCAACAGAGACGCTTTAAAGGGGTTGCATCAATCCTAAGCCTGTACACAACTGCGATTTAAGTGTGGCACTGTGTGAAAACCCACTGAGAGTGTTACTGCAGCTTTGTTTAGCTGTGTCATCAGTACTGGCATGTTTACTGTGTCTAAACTTGGTGCTGGCGATAAAGATATTAGGCCTATGATGGAGAGCTTGACGAACAGTGACTGTGGCTTTGAGGGGATTAGGGTTAGCTCAATTACGCTCACTGTTTGCATCTTGTTCTGTATGAACCGAGTGTACTCAGGTACGTGCTTGTGCTTCATATAAACGATTTTTAAACGAGCTGCATAGTTGGGTAGCCACTGTTTTGCCTTTTGTTAATAATTTAATGAAATTATGGTTGACTTTAAAGGGCAGTGCACATAACTGGTTATTTGTTAAACTTGATATGTTACCAGTCTTGTGCTTTCGGCTTGTGTAGATAAAAGCCAAAGGTTGCTGATTCCACTTTTAAGAGTGGGACAAACATTGTGGTTTGTCCCACTCCTTTGAGAATGAGTCAGCTGACTGTCTGGTTGTGACTTTCTCTATGTGACTAAACTACTTTCAACAATGTCTGACAAACGGCTTTCGTGTAAGAAGACTGCTCCTTCTCTCTCTTAAGCTGCAATAAAATTAGCTGACAATTATAAATACCTGAAGACAAAGGCATACTTCAGTGGGCAAGGTTTAACTTTTGCCCCCAGGAGGTCACAGGCAGAGACAAACAGTGCTATTAGGATGTTAATGTTCCCTGATTCTATATATCAGGAACGTTTGCCTTGGTTAGTCACTCAGTAACAACCTTATCAACATCAAGAGGACGGTCTTATCAGAGCACTTACTGCACCTTATTGAGACAATCAATATTGAATACAGGTCAGGCTCAAATTTATGATTCAAGAGATGAGAACATGACTACTGATAACATCTCTTTACAATCAAATAAAATGCAACAGTTTGTTTTGTTTGTTGGCGTGTGATGTGTGATAGCAATTGCACAAATTCACTAAACATGTGGATGCTCTCTTTAAAGGACTAAAACGATAACCACACAAAGCAAGTCTGCTCATTTTTTACACTTAAATGCTTCAAATCTTTAAACAAATGTTAATATTAGACAGGGAGCGATTGTGTCAATTATCATGGAAGCTGAGTTCAGTTTCACTAAACACATCCAGACTTGATTACTGTCATACCTGTTGAATCAACAAATCACTTGAAAAGCATCTGTGTGACTAAGTAAGGTACGCTGTAAGATCTGAAAAAGCAACACAAAGCCATTTCCAAGTTTCTGGGACTCCAGTGAACCACAGTGAGAACCATTATCCACCAGTGGCGAAACGTTGGAACAGTGGTGAATCTTGTGGGAGTTGACAGCCTACCGGTTACTCTAAGAGTGCATTGATGACTCATCCAGAAGGTCACAAAAGAGCCAAGAACAACATCTAAAGAACAGTAAAGGTCAGAGTTCATGATTCAACAATAAGAAAGATACTGGGCAAAAGTGGCATCCACGAGAGAGAACAAGGTGACCAAGAAGGACACAAAGGCTCGTCTCAAATCTCTCCCCAAAAAAGTGGAAAAGCCTGTGCAGATGTGCAGATGAGACAAAAGTTTAACTTTTTGTGAGATTCAAGTCCTCTTACACCTGGCATAAAACTAACACAGCAATTCATGAAAAGAACATCATAACAGCTAAACATGGTGGTGGTATATGCAGCTATTAGTTCATGCCCTGAATTCAAAAGCAATTGATCTGATGATCAGTAATCTGAAACTCAGCCTCAAGTCCACTCAAAAGCAGTGAGTGTGGCCTATTCAAAGTCTAGATTTAAACCAAATTTAAACGCTTTGCTATGACCATTAACAGGATGTTTATGATCAGAAATCCTAAAGTGTGGCTAAAATAAAACAACTATGCAAAGAAAAGTGGACCAAATATGAACTGAAATGTGCAAATACGTACTTTAATGGCAGTGTATGTCAGTCATTTCCCTGTGTCTTCAGTCTTTATGCTAAGCTACCAAAGTGATCGTAGCTTCAAATGCAGAACATTTGAAGTGGAATCTTTTCATTTTTTATTTCAGGTGTATTTTCCACAAATATTGAACTATTCTTTTAAAGCTCTCCTTGACCCACGAGAGGCAAAGGTAGCCAGCACACTGCGTTTAATGATTCATCTGCACCCTACTGGTAACTTTGAAAAGTCACTTTTCCACTTTGATCATTTTAGAAAAAGTTTATAAACATTTACCGCTCGAGTCCACACCCATTATTCTCCAAAATATAATGCATTACTCACACATTCACAGTCTCTTACTACGTGACCTACAAACACATGTCATGTGTGTCTGAATCACCTTTTTTTTTTCAGGCTTGTTGCATCATCTCAATTTTCATGACCAGTTGAATCTAGCTCAGAGTCATGCAAACAACCTGGTTTAGGTGTGCGAAATGAATAAAGCAGAGGAAAAACAGATGTGAGGAAACAGCCTACAGTCATGCTGTATATGGTGTAAATACACTTCTGCTGACCAACAGCTGTCAGGGCGATCTTTGACTTTCAGTACAGAAAGCTAACTTTCTGCTCTGTTTGCACTGAACAGCAGCCATGAACTGAGAGATCAAGTACTCTTCAACCCGTTGACCCATTAAAGCCTTGCAAAAAGACAGAGGGCACAAAACAGATTTCCCCTATGACACCACTGTATAGTCCTACTGTATTAGAAATAGAGCTAAAAGTAAAAGAGAAACAAGAATGGAAAGATCTAACGTCCTTGAGTGCTCCTTTGTTTACGTTATTTATTCCCATATCAGTCTTTTGCTTTATGACAGGCCTTACACTCTGTCTCCTTAGACTATCTCAAGTTTTATTGTTCTTTCCTCAACACTGTGTAAAAAGAATGAACGAACACAAACTCACTCAACACAAACAGCAAAATGGAAAGAGAGTGAACCTGACTGTTAAAACAAGTGGGGTTTTTTTTTGGTTTTTTTTAAAAACATTCATCTTAATTACCTTAATTCTTCCAAACAACCCGTGGATGATTGCAGGATGTGCTGGAAGAGTTTTATTTCATTTATATTGCCAAAAGAAGTCACCAGCTGCTCCCACAAACACAGCCAGGTGAAAGTCCACTGGTTTTATCGTGTACCGAGACACCACGACCTACATATGCTGCACTAAATCGCTCACAGCAGTCTTTCAAAGGTTGTCAGTGCTTCAAAATAATAAGTGGGATGAAGATACAGAACTAGGAAGATGCTCCACAAATACAGGAAATGCTGCATTCTGTTTATACACATTAAGGTGTCGGGTATATATTTTGCTTGTTTGAACTATGCCCATCAGCACTTTTGGTGGTGTCTTGCAGTGTAAGTGACTGACCTGAAATTAGCATAGTGCTCATATTTTTCCCCCCTCCAATGCGCCTATTATCCGATGTGTTCCTATTGAGGGCCTCACATTACAAGTCCACAGTAGTGCTATTGTATCCTGACAAGGACCTTTCACACAGTCATTGCCAATACTAGCACTTATTAGCAGATCCACAGTATAGCAGTCACAGTTTTGCAGATGTGGAAATTTCCACACACGAAAAAAGACCCCTCCACGTTTAACTATGCTCCATGAATGAAAAACCTTTAAAGACAGACTTCACACCAGATGTGTCTGAAATCATTTGTATCGGGGGCTTAAAAGATGTTTCACGCAGTTTCTTGAAGTAACATCTCCACATCTACTCACACAGAAAAAAAAAAACATCCTCCACCATGCTATTGATTATATAGGACAGACCAGCTTTGATTAGTCAATATCCATGCGTTATCAAGGAAAGGCGTTATGATCTAACGCGAGGGAAGGGCTTCCCTTTGTACAGACTTATCTCCTCTTGGCCTCAAATCAAGGTTGCAGGCCTGGCTGCCTTCCTAACTCGGCAGACAATGGCTCAGACACATCTTAAAAAACGGTCACATGCTGCGACTGCAAGAATGTGGAAACACTCGCTTAGTTACAGCAGAGATAATTTGTAGGTTGGTCTAAGAAAAATAAAAAATAAAATATAAGCATGCATGTTAGAGTCTTTGCACAGCGGAGAAAAGGGGCACACTTGACAGAACTATTAAAGGACAACGTGGGTCTTTAGAAGTTGCAATGCACGTAGTAAGAATGTATACAAAGGACAGATCAGAGGGAGATAAAATATCACACAGTCACTTTAACATTTGAGCTGCGGGGTAGCCCCCCAAATTCCTAAAAATAGGAAGGCAAAAGTCCTAAAATAAAGTCGGCTGTCACCGGGGATAAATCGGGTGGGCGTTCTTTTTTCGTGCATCTCACCCGAGAGTCACAGCTTCCTGGTCATGCAACCGCTGGAAAGCTGCATTCTCAAATCCCACAGCTGGTGTTGCCCAATAGAGGCGGCGGTGGGGAAAGTGGGCCGGGCTGCACGCCCCCAAGCTTTATAAAATTCCCTCATACATCCGCCTGGCGCAACACGTAAACAAAGCAACGCTGCTGTTTCAAAGAGAAAGAAGGAGAGAGAGAGAGAGAGAGAGATTGCAAAAGTTTTGAGGACTTTTTTTCTCCATCTCTTCAGGAAGTTTTCATTTCAGGACAATCATCTGCTAAACCAACAGGTAGGTTTCTTTTTGGAATTATGAACTCTACTATGAACTCCTTTTTTATGGGTTCCAAGGAATTGTGCGCTCACTTCCTACTCAGTTTCCCCGTTATTGACATTGTCTGTGCGCAACCGCTGAAACACAACTAAAATAAGAAACTAAGGCTGCATTATTTCTTTCCTTTTTCTAACCCCTTTATAGAAACTGGAACCACATTTTTATTTTTGCACATTTAAAAAATGCTTTCTATTACATGTCCACGTGCATTTTCCGAGAGAGCTTTCTCGCACTTTTGGGCATGTTTCTCAAAAAAGATCAAATAATCTGTGGAATGTGTTTCATAGCAAGGAAGGTGCCATGTGTGCAAAGTGTAAAAGATCTTCGCAGATCAACGTTCATGTCACACGTGACACTGGTGGCACGCGAGCACACGGGAAACATGCAGTTTTATGTCAAATGTTGCACTCATCGTGAGGCCAGATAGTTGCATAACAAATCCTCTTTGCTTTCTAGCCTTGGTATTAATGTAACAAACAAACAAACAAACAAACAAACATGCACGAGGGTGGGGGCTGGAGGAGGGAGAGAGACTGGGCTGTGGCTGATGCTGATCGAAGTATTAAACATTTTCTTTATTGACTTAAGGTATTAACAGCAAGTGTTCCAAAATGCATAAATAAATAAATCTTTGCTAGAAAAACAAGACTGCTCCCCATCAGATCTGCGTGACCCCTCCTCACCAACTTCACTATAGAGAGGAAGACGCCCACAATTTGCTATCTCTTACAGTGAAAATGTAGGTCTGTATGAGCTTAGTCCAGCAGGCCTGCTGCTGCTCTGCTGATATTTCAGAACCAGGGATTTGACAGATTAAGCGAGTTCCCAAAGATTAGGGAAGCAATCATTGTTTCTGCAGATGGATGCAGCAGGCTCGTGGATTTAAAAGTATATGGAGGCAGAGGAGTGAAGGGATGACCTGCCCTTGATTCTGGCTCTCTGAAATTGAGACTCTGTCCAAATCTAATCACTACATATGCTTCTTTCTGTCAGTGAACAAAGAGAGTTTGAGCCCATGCTTGTTTTGTAACTTGGATGTTGTGGCTTAAAGCAGCGCACCCCATCTCCTGGATTTACTGTGGAAAACAAGCGCTGATGTTTTACGTAGACCTGAGCCAGAGTTGTTGTTTAAAGCTCAAACCGCAGCATCTCATTGTCAGGTGATATTTTTTAATATTCAGAAAGCCAACAACTGCCCTAATCAGTCATCGAAACCAGTCGGTGTCGAAGCTTGAAAAACTAAAACCTTGACATGAAGTCAAACTGTCAACAAATAAAAATGCTTCAAATAATTTCGAGTTTGTGTTTTTTTTTGGGGTTTTTTTTTCTGAGCTACACTTTTAGGATCATCTCTTAGAAACGTATATCCTCCCACTGTTTCCTGTTTAAGATTGCATAACAGTCTCACTTCTGCCAAGCCAAAGCTGTTTCAGTTACTGCTTTTGTTTCGTTTCTTTCCTTCTGCAATGACATTTTTCTAACAGGAGCCTTTGCATGCAGGGACAACTGCTGCCACTGGCACCTCTTTGTGCTGAGGCCGGTTTTAAAGAAGGCACCGAAGGCAAATTCCTGTGAGGGAACACGCTCATCTTAAAATCTGAGAATAGTCTTTTACCCAATGTGGCCAAATTTGAGGAAGCGATTGTGCTCGGTGTGCCACAATATTAAGAGCAGCAGAGCAGCCTTGCGTTCAGTGTTATTCACTCCATCTCATGTTATTCATCGACATTATAAATACATTTTAAGTGTAATGGGCCACTGTTGAATATTTATCTCTTTCCATGACAGTCGTTTGAAATCATTTCATAAAACATGTCACAGCAGCAGCACTCCTATCGTGTTGCTTAGGCTCAGACTCTGGCGTGGGTAAACTAACACTTCCCCTTTCTGCACTCCTCTCAAAGAGGTGAAACATTAGCTCAGCTTGGCTAACACCACAGGTGTAAACAGCAGGTGACCTAGTTGTCTTAGCCTGCTGCTCTGTCAGAGCTTCTCTCTGATGTCGACATGCTGGCAGGTAGTGACTGGTAGCCAAGCTTGAAAAGAGATGCGTGCTTTTATTTCATTAATTTAGTTTCTGTTGTTTTCCATTTGGTCCCACGTTGTCATTTACTCACCAAAGTGAGTAAATCAAAGTACAGCACACCTGTAAGTCCCATAAGATTTACAAAAAGAAAAAGAGACACCAGATATGATAAATGTTGCTTTTCCATATGGGTGAACTTACTTGTCTGGTTTTATTTTTGCTGTTTGCAAAAAAAGGCTTAAAAACAGAAAACAGGCCGAGAGGTTTGCTCATGTTGACATGGGAAATTACATCCCCCCCCCTCCATTTTTTTTCAAATTATATAATCAAAAATGGCCTGAGCATTTTCTTTTTCTTTCGATATTATGAAAATCATAAACATGGTTTCTGTTACATGGCTGTGGAATCTCAGCGGGGGCTGCTCTCTTGTCCTCTTCAACAAAGCTCCTGCAGTGTAACCGCAGCCATGTTTTTGGAAGGGCCGCAGTGAACAAACGAACCTGTTGTTTGATACTCCTCTTCCTCTGCGGCGCTGTGAGAGCTGCCTGGCGCTGGTGTGTGTTCTCCTCATCAGAGAAACACAGGCATACAGGTGTTTGTGTGTACCCAGGGCGTATTCTGCCAGACACCCATATCTGAAACATGAGTTGCTTCCTCTAAATGGCAAACTTGCTCTGATGAGCACTCTGCAATTCTGAAGGTTGATTAAGTTTTTTTTTTTCTATTTTCTATTTTTGCTGGCACAAAAGACATTGTCAAAGCCTGGAAATGGCAAACGGAGAGACTTCACCCAAACAGAAACCAAGATAAACACAGAAAGTGACAGGAAGCGCAAGCAGGGCGCTGAAAAGAAGCTGGGAAGTTTAGATGGGAACCAGGGTGTCAGTTGCTTCCTGTATATGGATGTGTGTCTTGGTCATCATGGCCCCCCCGCTTCAGCTGTGGGAGAGAAGTGGGCAAGCCCCTGGCCTGCTGCGGCCAGTGGACAAAGGGCTCTCTTAACTGGCTAATTTGATTTGCATGCAGAGTCACAGCCTACATGCTCTATTCCAACACAGTATCATGATCTGCACAGCCTGGCTTCTCTTCCAGTTTTCTGCCCCTCTGTACAACTCTTCATCTTTCTTTTCCTTTTAATGTTGTCATTAAGCCCCACTTTGATGTTATTTTATGAAATGTCTTCCCAATCCCGAAACCTGGATTTAGGGAGGGTCTTTTTCAGCTCTAAGTTCAGTGGATAATTAACTTGAGTCCAATCTTCAAAGTGCATGTGTAGTAGATCTTTTTTTTTTCTTTTAAATCTTTCAGCAGGGTGAGAATTACCCAAAAATCACACTTCCTCTTCCCCTCACAGCCAAACCTTGCTTTGTGCCTGTCAGCCACCTTGCGCACTGTCTTTCAGGTTATCCACGTGTTTCTCATGTAGGCGGTTCGCAGGTGTGGTCCGTTATGTGAGCCGCATGTTACTGCAGATAACTGCTGCAAGCCTCTGCATGTTGCGAGTGTGTCTTGGACTATATTAAACTTAAGCCCTCTTTACTTTCGTGTGGAGAAACACACCCAGCCAAAGTTCAAGCAGGCCTCATTCTATTGTCTGCAACTCCTCAATTCTGACAAAAGTCTCCCAGCAGTCCCCTTAAAGACGCTTAGGAGCAAAAGAAAGGGACAAATCTGTACTTTAACAGGCCTTTAATCACTCTTTTATTTTAAAATACAGTAATGCATATAAAAACCTTGATCCTCGTACACAGAAATATGCTGAACCAGTCATTAACTAATTGCTCCGATCTCTCCCAGGCTCTGCAGCTCTTTGAAATGGATGATATCCAGGTTGTTGAGTCCAAACCCCTGCTGGTTGACAGGGAGCTGCCGGTATGTTTTGTGCAAAGTTTTGTTTAACGGTAACTCTCAGATAAATCTTAAGCTGTTGGAGTTCTATGCTGTCAAGCTTTGTATACTTTTTGCTGATTTATTTGTGCCTCTTAGCTTGACTTTTCTTTAGATATAACTTTTGGGATATTGGTGCTTTTATATGAGAACGTAATCACTGAACACTTCATAAATTTCTATACACAGATTTCCAAAATATGCACAGTAAAAGACAATTAAGCTGTCTGTGGTCGGCTGTGTGTTAGAAAAATGGAACTAGTGCAATAAGAAAATCATGCATATGCACCAGAATACCACAGTATGATTCGCTTTCACATAATTTCACAGAATGTTCTTCATGTTTGATGCATTATGTTGACTGTGCAGTCAAAATTATACTTGATTCAGGTTGGGTTCAGTGATGGGAACCGACTTTGGGATATTAGATTATAGCTTGTTGCACCGTAATCATGTTATCTTTTATGTTTTCATTCCTCTTTTCTCTCTTTCCAGGGCTTGAGAGAGGCTGTGCAGCAGCTTGTAACCAAGGTATGTTTGCATAAACACACATTAAACACTTTATCATTCTGACAAGTTGCAACATTTTGTTTTAGCAGTTAAATCCACTGCTTGGTATCTCATAACTTTACCTTGAATAGTACCATCTAGTGGCTGTTAAATTAAATACTTTGATAATTATTAACATAGCTGTGGCACTACCTCATTGACCTTTTATCTGCTGTGATTTTATTAGGACAGAAACCTAATTAGGGTTCCACTAACTGAGTCAGCTACAGGAAATGATGAAATGCATGTTGAACTGGATTTGATGATGCAGCCTATCGGGAGAAACTGCATGTGTTTTGGTGCTGCTGAGTCTGGGGGCGATCCTAACACCCTGTACAGAGCTCCTTATAGTCAGAAAACATTTGCTGCCTCTTGAATCTGTGTTGTTTTTAAATAACAGTAGGTGTGAGAAGTGCATTGGTTTCAACTTAAAAAAATCTTTTCTTCAAACTTCATGCGAATTTAAGGGTTTTGTGCTCAGGCAGTGTGTGGATGGGGTTCTTTTACCGAGAGTCTGAGCTCCATCAGAGTCCTTCTGACTTTCTTTGCTGTGACACTGACAGATTGGTTGACCTAAAGTATCCAGGGCAAGTGTTTGATGTCTCTGTGGGGACTAAGCTTCCAACAGTCAGTCGCGCAGGATTAGTTGGCTCTGATGATATTCCCTGATTTTTATTAGCGAATGCATTCATGACACCTGGACACACACACACATACACAAAAAAGAAATTCCACTGTAAGTTTCACAGATGTGCGTGTGTGCTTATGAACACTCTGTACACACAGACACATGCTCGCTGCCTTGCAGGATTATCTCCACTGCGTAGTCTCCACGTTTGAGTGTGCCCTGCAAAGCGTGGGTGGAGCGAGCTGTGGTGAATCCTGTACATTACATTTCGTAAATAGGTTTTACCTCCTTGCTGGATGTTCCTGACAAGTAGATCCCATGCAGTTAGAACTGGTTTGGGGGTAAAAAACAAACTACTTAATAGGTTGTCTCGTGACATACCCTTGACCTGCTGATGGATCACCATAGAGCTGCTGTTGGTTAATAATAAACCTTCATATAAACAGTTTAAGTTTAAAATTATTAGAAATAAAGAAATGAATGACAATGTAAAAGCAAGTTTTAGCTAATAATCACTCTACATATTTAGATTTTATAGAAAAAAACTTTTTTTTAAAGGAGTTAAATGTTTTTTTTTAGTCTAGTTCTTAAAACTGATTTATTCATGGATTATGGCAGTATTTATATTTGGAGAAATTTTTAAAACTTCGTTTCACTATTTAACTAAATTTTTAATGTATTATGGGTGAGTTTTAACCAAATACCGAATGTGTAATTTAGAAACAAATCAAAGATTTTCATCAAAAGGGCTCAGTCTAGTCTCGAAAGACTGTTTGCTGCCGTATATCGTGCAGGATCTATATTTAATTACCAACACTAAGTTAAGTCTTTGTTTTTGTAAATCTTCTCCCCTAAATATTACTGAATAATAGCTGCTGCCTCATTTATTCATCATGTTTTGCCACTCATCGCATGCTCATACTTATCATGTCAGCGCAGTAGCTGATGCCCCTCTCTGACATTGGCTGATCCAATTTAAGGATATCTTCATCTAGAATTAGCTTGTTTTGACCAGCCTGCAAGGCACCATGGGAGGCCAGGAGCTTAGGCCAACTGGTAAGCAGCAGGGGTATAAAATGCAGTTCTCACTGAAGGGCTGAACGACTTCAGAGGCTTACCAGCTCTTGGATCTATAGCTCAGAGAGCCACTGTAACTACAGTTTTCAGTAGCAAGCAGTGTTTAACTCTATTCCTGCAAACATGGTTCTGGAGGATCCTGATGTGGAAATGATTGTCGCTGAGATTGAAGTGAGCGTGAGTAGACTAAAAGCTTTATTAAAATGTTTGCTGTAGTTTCCAGCGGATTTGTGGGATTATGCTGCCTGCTGGACAATCGATACTAAAGTTGGAGTTGTTGCACAGGTGCTAAACGGGGAAAAAATATTCTTCTTTTGTGGCTCATGTGGAAAAAATGTGTTGTGTTTTACAGTGGCCAGCCTTTTGAAATGGCTTTGCTTACTTTTCAGTTGGTAAAGTAGATAGAAAACTAATATATTTAATGGAATGATAAACCTCTGTAACGAGATGCGGCATGGTTGGGTAAATTATTCCTGGTGAAGAGCCTATCATTTAGATTTTCCATCAAAAAAACAGGCTAATTATTGGAGGTTGTATTTAACAAAAGTATTTCAAATATTACTGCAACAGCTTTACGTTGTCATATTGACTATGCAGCCCTGTTGCACCAGCATCAAGGAGTAACTTTAAAGAAATATATATAAATATATTTATGTATTTTTTGTAACCTGGAGCTATAAAAGTATGGTCATGTCTGTGTATCTATAGGAGCACGATGTGGAGACTCCTAATGGAAGAATTCACTGTACAATGAAGGGGGTTCCCAAGGGGGACAGACCAGTCATTCTCACCTTCCATGACGTCGGCCTGAACTGTAAGCCTACCTCATTATTTCCTTTATCTTGGTGAAACGTGCTGTGGTACCGAAGGCCTTGTGTGTCTTGAATGATCATACCAATTAAAATGAAATTAGTTTCTCTGAACTACCTTTATATTAAGTCTATCTAAGTATCTAAGCTGGACTTATAACCCTTGTATCCACGCTATCATTTTACGCTCGGTCATGTTTGTGTATCTGTAGGAGGAGGTGTGGAGACTCCTCGTGGAGTCTTCCATGATTTCTTTTTTCTTTTTTTTGTAATGAAGTCAGATTTTGTAAGATGATTGCTCACGGCACCTCCAAACCTGAGATTTGCTCATCTATTCAGGCGGTTTGAGTTCTTCTTTCCCCCTCTATTAAGAACCACTCATCCAACTCCACCATCTTTTCACTGTTTTCCAGACAAAACCTGCTGGAACACGCTCTTCGACCATGAGGACATGGCGGAAATCATGCAGCACTTTGCTGTGTGTCACGTCGATGCCCCGGGGCAGCATGAAGGAGCAAACACCTTTTCCACTGGGTGAGCCAGATGCACACATGCATGTGCGCACACAGTCACAAACAGAGAGACACTTAATGTATGTCAAGCAGTCTGTGACCTCAGAATCAACAGGTAGATCACTGTGAATGTGCTTAAGGTGACCTAATTTGACAAGTATTATCTCTTGTTCAGCCTAATCTCTGCTTTAATGGTGAGACTTTGCCTTATGTTAAGATTAGCTGAACACAAACTGCTGTCAGGAGTTGATAACGGTAATATAAGACCATTGCTGATTAGATAGTGTCTGTAACAATACTCTTTTTGTTTCCCCAGATATGAGTACCCTTCTATGGACCAACTTGCTGAGTCTCTCCCACTGGTCTTAAAGCATTTTGGGTAAATTGAGCTCCAGTTCCCAGCCTGACACTTCACCCTTTATATTTGAGACACTTTCTAACCGGTTGTTCTAACAGTACCCCTCTACTTTTGTGCACTCTAGCCTGAAAAGTGTGATTGGCATGGGCATGGGAGCCGGGGCCTACATTCTGTCCAGATTTGCTGTGAGTTTACCCCACGCTCTCTCAGTCACACTTAATATTTTCAGTATTAATCAATCTTGGATTAGCAGAGCTGGCTAATGGGTTTCTGCTCTTGGCTGATTTTTGGCAACACACTGCCGCTTATTGCTTGAGCCTGCAGAGCCATGAAAGCCTCAGGAATGTACAAGATCAGCTCACCACTAACACTGTGCTCAATAGTAAGCCCCCCTCCCCGCTGACACAAAGCTGGCAAAGATGCAACATTTAACTCTTTGCAGCCTTTACTTTAACTAGTTCTATATTGTTCAACAGGGCACGATATAACATTAAAGAGCTTTAGATTAAAACCTAACCCTCACCAAATTGGGAAACAATAAATAAATAGATGGGCTATACAAAATATTTTTTTAAATCGGTTGTGGGGCACATATTTAGCGAAATGTGTCGTGGTTTATTTCTAAAGTTCATTTATGTATCTTTTAGCTGGACTACCCAAATATGGTAGAAGGCCTTGTTCTCATCAACATCAACTCGTGTGCTGAGGGATGGATGGACTGGGCTGCACACAAGGTAATGCGCGTATAAACACACATATGAGCACCTACAACTGTTCAAACCATTTCCAAAAACTGTGGTAACTTTGACTTTTGGATTTGCAGAACCATTAAAGCTAAACATAGCTTTTTCTGTTTTTTAGATCAGTGGCTGGACTCACGCAGAGCCCGACATGATCATCACCCACCTGTTTGGAAAGGTAAAGATTCAAATTCTCATTATTAAATTAATTAATATCTTCATTACGCTTAAAGTACCTCTGTAAACTGAAACTAGGATTTTAGTTAGATTCATTTGTAGGTCGTGGGTTTAACACGTCTTTTGTTTTGGGTACCGCAGGAGGAAATTCACCACAACCATGATCTAATTGCCACATACCGCCACCACATCATGAATGACATGAACCTGTTTAACCTGCATCTCTTTGTCAAGTCCTATGAAAGGTAAGCACAGCATCTAGTTTATGTAAATGTTTCATGATATAATCTTGGTGTTTGAGTTCATACACTCTAATGGAAAGTGTGGTGGCTCCTTAGTGTAGTGCTGTACACATTTGAGATACCGATCCCTGTGGAGTTGAGTCAGGGAGGCCATCGGGTGCAAAAATTAGGGAGCAGCCGAAAGTAGCGTGTTCTGCGCACTAACAGATGTGTCTGTCTACAGTCGAAGGGATCTGGAAATTGAGAGGCCAGTCCCTGGAAGCCATGCCAGAACCCTCAAGTAAGTTGTTCTCAAAAACGGCATCAGCTTAAATGAAACAATGTTATTTCTAACACGGAAACATTCACTGTGTGGTTGTGTGTCCTTTATCCAGGTGCCCTTCTCTGCTGGTGGTTGGCGATAGCTCTCCTGCCGTGGAGGCCGTGGTGAGTTCACATGGCTCAAGTGCTAATGATTAGACTTCCCACTGCCGTTAACACGGTTCAACTTGTGCTGGACGTGTTTTCCATTCGCTTCAGTCGTCTGCTTAAGCCCAAGAGATATGCAAGGATAAGTGCTTAAGGACAACAGTTTAGCATGTCTTAGGCAAGAACCGAATTGGAAACAGAAACGGAGTGATGCAGATCAGCTTTAATCTGTTAAAGTTAAGAGATTTGTGTGACTGCTGCTGCTTTCAGCTGCAAACAGGTCCCAAATCCAAAACGTATTTGTTAGTATATATTATCCATAGGAATAACTGGATTAAGCACACAACATTAAAAACTTGTTGGTCATCACACATCATTTGCCTAATAAATGTTTTGCGTTTGTTCCTGCAGGTTGAGTGCAACACTAAGCTGGACCCCACAAAGGCCACCCTTCTTAAGGTGAGGGCCCCACTCATTCCCTCTGTTGTGGCCTTTACCCCACACCTCCTGTCTCCTATTCTCATCCAGATTATAACCACCTTGATGAAAACTCATCTGCTGATAAGATTCCATTGGCTCAGCATTTACCTGGTGATATATTAACCAGTGGTATGACAGCTGAGCGTTTCCCCAGAGCTCACTGACCTACTTCGGCTGGCCTGTGGCGAGCTTTTTATGAACCGCATCTCAAATCAAATGGCTGTTTGACTTAAAGTGGTGCCTTTTACTGGGGTTAATGGTTCTGCGTGTTCAAATTGGACTTAATGAGCGCTGTGGGGGGTTATGGAGTGTGCACGATGCTGCACGAATACACAAGTGACAACATGCAAAATTCTAATTTTGTGTTCTTTTACTCTTCTCCCCAGATGGCCGACTGCGGTGGCATGCCCCAGGTTGACCAGGTGTGTATGTGTGAGAAAGAAAATAGGGAGGGGGAAATAACATGAGAGACATTGATGCTGTAGAACAGGCTGGACAGGGCTGGATAATCAGCACACGGGGTCAGGTGGAGGGGTGGATGGCGTAGGAGGGTGGCACTTAAGAGCATTAACAAGTACCAGACATGAACCACAGTTGTCAGGTTGTAATCCTCCAAACTGCACAGCACCTGTTCATAACAGCTGTCATATCACAAACCCTGGGAAGTAAGCTGGTGGCTGAGAGCTTGAACCTGTCAATGTTATGCAAACAAATATAATAATTACTGAAAAGAGGACTGATTATCTTTATGTTCTTCTCTGCAGCCTGGCAAGCTGACCGAGGCGTTCAAGTACTTCATTCAGGGCATGGGATACAGTAAGTATCACATACTTTCACTTTGTTTTACTGAGATATGTTCAGATTAAAGTTTCTTCTTCCAACGTGCATGAAAATAAAAACGACACAGAAAAAAATGCCTGCCATCACTGGTGCTTACAGATGTAAAAGATGTATATTCTGCCACCTTGTGGTGAGAGAAAGATCTCTTAGCCTTCGAGTTCACCTCATCCAGTGTTGAAAATCAAACACTCTGAAAACATTAATGCACTAATTAATTTTGTTAGGCTCCTCATTACGTTGCTGAGACCAGTAATATAATTTCTAGTTTAGAATAGCACATTAAACCTTACGTATTCCCACACATCAGCACAAACGGCTACCCTAAGAAGGACATGCACAAGATCTGAGCACTCGAGTGTCACATTCTTGTCTCTTTACGTGCCAAAATTTATTATTTATGATGAACTGCACTGAGAATGCCCCCTTTGAGAATTTTTGCAATTGGTCAAATGCGCTCCACAAAGTGAGTTCAAAGCATGTTTGATTATTCAGATACTTTAGGATCTTGTGTAACTCTTGCAGGTGACTCAGTTGTTTGATTTCTGACTGTAATGTGATTAATGAATTTGGGAACGGGAATGCTTGACTGTACCAATGTACACACAAATATAAGGTGATTATAATAATGCCCCAACACAGCCTTCGCACCCCTTGTTTTTATGATTGATTAGGGCTTGTACTCACTATGATGTAACTAATGCTCAAAGGACAGACCATATGTGCACCCACTGGCAACTTTATTATACACAGCCATTCAGCTGATTTAATAACTAATCAGCCAATCACACGGGAACAGTTCAGTTAATTTGGGCATGTAGACATGGTCAAGACAGCCTGCTGAAGGTCGAATTGAATTTGACAACTTTGCACTACTGCTCTCAAGCATAAAGTATTCGCTGTTTAGTTTAAATGGTGTCCGTGTGAACTTTCATTTGACTGACACGTTTGCATTTGCTGATGACAGTAGAACCAATTTTAATTGTCTGCATCTGTTTGGATGGCTTGCTTTCATTGTAACAACACGTGGCAATTTATATGCTCGCCATACATTTATTACAAAATTCTGCAAATCTTCTTGAAGGTTGTGATGAAAGGTAGTGAGCAATGGGAAAGTGGACGTCAGTAAATTCTTTTCCTCTTCCCTCAGTGCCTGCTGCCAGCATGACCCGCCTTGTTCGCTCCCGCACTGCCTCTGGCTCTAGCGTCACCTCGTTCGACGGCAACCGCTCCCGCTCCCACACCAGCGAGGGAAACCGCTCCCGCTCCCACACCAACGAGGGCAGCCGCAGCCGCAGCCACACGACTGAGAATCCGCACGGCCGCTCCCACACAGACAGCTCCATGGACACCACGGCCAACAACAACGTGGACCAAGGCGTGAGCAAGTCCGCCGAAGTGTCCTGCTAAATAACCCTCCACTCAGCAGACATCCAAACCTCTCAAGGATCCCCTTCAGTCTCTGCTGCGCTACCTCTAATTCACACCTGGCCCATCAACCTGGAATTGTTTAAAAGAGAGGGGAAAAAAAGAAATAAAAAAACGCACAATACACACTCACCTGCAGATTTCTCAGTGCAGATGAGTTGCCCTAGTTTGGAAATATGTTTGAGTAAGAAGTTGAGGTCGTGTTTATTGATTGCAAGCAGAAAATGTTTGGGGCCACAGTGTAATTGGAGGCAACGCAGCATTTGGGACATCGAAGCAGAGAATGTCGGAGAAAGCTGTGGCTAAGAGTACACCAGCTTGTAATATATCCCTCATAATCTCGCATACAAAAAAAAAAACAACCTCCCCTTCATCTTTCCCTCCAACCTCATTTTTTTTTTGGTCCATTTTTACCCTACTGACGCAGCTTTCTCAAATTTACCCGACTGTAAATGTGTTTCCTGTTCTCACTGTAATTGTTCGATCATTTATCCGTTTATTTTTCATGTATGAGTTATTGTTCGTATGTAGGAGCAGACTTGTAGATGTGGAGAGTGAATGGGGAGGCACTACACGTATATCTTTGAAAATTGAAAGGGCAGACTTAAAGTATATCATGCACAGCAAATTGTTTGACCTTGCAAATGTCATTTATTTCCCCCCCTGTGAATTTTCTTTCCCCCAAAAGATTGTTGAAATAGCAGTTTGCAGGTGAATTTAAAATTAATCTAAATTGTATGCTTTGTCGTCAATCAAAACACTGAAAAACCAATGCTAAAGCTTCAGGATCACATGGTTTATTAATGGATCAAAAACGGCTCTCTCTTAATGATTTTTATGATGATTTCTATGCAATCAATGTGCCATGAAATTGTTCACCTTTGTTAGATTGTGCTGCTCCTGTGTGTGGATTCTTGAGTGAGTGATAAAAGAGAGGTCCACATGTAAACACGAGGATAGCCATAGAACTTACCTGATACTTTCTACTCTTTCTTCTGTATTTTACTTGCACTACAAAAACATTTGGCTCTGTAGAACACGTACATACAGCTTTGTAAATACACAACCTTCTAATGCTGTAGAAAAGCATTAAAATGACATAACCGTTTGTATTTATTAAAAAATGACAAAAAAAATGTGTAACAGCTTCCCTGATTATCCTTATTTCATATGAATATGTAGTCTTGGGGATCTTTGTTCATCTCTTAACACTTATAGGGAGAATTTAATGAAATAGATGAAGAAAAACCTACAACCTCCGTTGATATGGGAGTTTAAAGGCAGGCAAGCAATGTCCTTGTGAGACGTCGTCCAAAAAACATAGCATGCCAGTACATATGCCAAAAGCCTCATAAATAAATTAAACCTTCAGTATTTCACATGCGTTGTTGAATATTTTCATTTGCAAACACTTCTTTAAATAGTCTTCAAAAGCACACCATGCTTTATGAATACACATATGTGATATTTACAGATTTTTCCAATAGGAAAAAGAAAACAGAACAAAATCCCTTGTACATGATTGGACTAAAAAAGGAAAGGAAAAAACTGCATAGGAAATGAAAGTCAGGAAAAAGTTCTAAAGCTCTTTACAGATGGGACAAACCGACAGGTCGCTTCTTAGTTCATAACCTCTGGATAACCGTAATAATTCTCCAGGTCAGCAAAGATGTCATTGGGGCTTCTGCAGCTGAGGTTGCAGAAGCAGGCCTGAACCCACAACATCTTCCAGGTGAATCCCGTCCCGTTGGGACACTCAAACTCCACGTCAATGGTTTTGGATTTGTAGGGGATGCAGCAGCGTTCGTCGGTGCAGACGCCGCAGTATTTGGGCCGGTACGCTTTCTTGCTGGTGCAGCCGGAGATGGTGAGGTTTGTTGGCTGATCTTCCCTGTAGATATTAAGACATTTCTTCCCTGGCTGAGGGAGCAAAGAAACAGGAAGATTTTAAATATAAAAACCATTTCAGTTTGATCAGTTATTGTACGTGTTTGTGAGACTACTACCTTGATGTGTTTGGTGATGTCGACCTCGCACGGCCGCAGGTTACAGAGACGAGACTCTTTAAACAGCTCGCATCGCTCATTGGCATTGGAGATCCTCATGGACAGGCCGCGGCCGCAGGTCTTTGAGCACGGGCTCCATGAGGTAGTCTGGGTAATGCAGTTTTTGTGCCAGCTCGTGGTCTCGGCTGGGAAAACTAGACAGCAGCATAGACAGAGAGGTGTGCAACTAAATTACGTTCAGCGCCATTTCATTGTCAAAGTGCTCCAGGTCGCGACAACTCTACTCCATTTGGCAAACCAAGAGTTAAATATAGACAGTTTTAATTAAAGTTTTAATGAAATTAAAAATTCACAATATTTCAACCAATCGTTTGGTTATTAGAGACCAAAAAAAAAAGTCAAAACAAGGATTGTTTTTCCAGCTGCAGTTAAATTTAGCAGCATGGCTCCCCGGCAGACCCCAGCATAATACAGAGCAGTGATAAAAGATGTAACAGGAGTCAGTTTTATAATAACTGGATCAATAAATAAACGGATCAATTAAGGAATTTCAGGAGAACAATTCCACTCAATCAACCAATCACATATCCTCTTGTTTTAAAGTTGTCTTTTAGCAACATGAATATACTTGTTTAACATTCAGATCATTCAGATCCTGCACATGTAATGTCGGAGAGAACACGAGAAGCACAGTATGACTGTCTCCCCTCGTGTCGCATCTGTTTTTAATCCAAACTGTTAAATTGTGTCTGCCTAGAAGTCTGGATCTAATTTGTTTCCTTATGCAGCACAAAGAGATCTTCATTCACATTCTTGCCTCCACTGGCTTCCACAGGAAAGGATCGATTTGTCACTCACACGCTTACGACAAACACATACTTCACGATGCGTCTGGACTACCAGCTTTACTTGCACAGCTACTTTGTGAGATGCAGTTTCAAACAGAGCAGATTCTGTTACTTCTAAAGATTTATACTGGTGTAAATAACACCACTCAATATCAGAAATATTCACGGTGTACTGTATGTATGTCTACATTTCTGTGCAAACAATACTGCCCAAGAGAGCTCCAATTAGTCATGTAAAATCCTCACATTTTTAAGAATACTGAGGGCTTCCTAGTAATTTGTTCACTATATTTGTACTTGAAGCATTCCCTTCCATTTAAATGACCTCTCAGCCATCAACTCTGAACATTAGATTTAGGGGTTAAAACATACAATATTTTTTATCCAAAGCTTCCTACCCTCGACTGCATGTCGCAGCGCTGTCTTGCGCCCTCTCCTGGGCTCGTCACAGATCCACTGCTCGCAGCACTGTCCCCGGACTTTGATTCGTCGTGGGGTCTGGCACCAAACACGGGGAGGCTGAGACTCTGTGCACAGACCCACACAGCCAATAGCACCGTTAACACACACGCACTGGTATTTACAGTTGGGCTGGAAACTCTCCCCGTTACGGTAGATCACGCCATTGTGCTCGCAGCCGATTCCCACCATGTCTGCCAGAGAGGGATGACAAGCAGGAATATATTATAAAAGCAGGGCAAACACACAAAAGCTTGGACTTGTGCGTTGCTGCTGAACTGCGTCCGCCATTATTAGGAGGACATTTGTCTTGCAGAGCTTAGAAAATAAAAGCAATCGATAAATGAAACATTTTGCACTTCAGAAATGTTTGAAAACTGTTATATTAGTCTCCATTTTTTATTTTCTTATTCCATCTTCAAACTGTCATCAGATCATGTGTAGGTAGGTTTTAAATGAACCTTCTATTAGAGATGGAAAATCTGTGACACCATAGGTCTGTTTTTACTATTTTTTTAGCAGCAGACATCATTTAGTGGGAGGTAAGTATTTCATTTCTCCACAGCTTATTCCAAAAAATAAAGTCCTTAAAAGTGAGCACAACAAGCAGCGAATGAACAAAAGAGAATAATTAAAAAAGGGGAAAAAATGGTGTGAGTGAAACTAAAATGATAAATGGTATGAAAATAACAACACATAGACGTATTAAAATACAAAAAACATGTAATGCAATAATTACATTAGAAGCTAGTGCTGTGCAATATCTGGGATAGATTTGATCTCGACATCAGGCAACGATTAAGTCTGCACAGTCTGCAAGGATGTAGAACAAAGGCAAAATAATAACATGAAAACATGAAAACATGAATAACACAAAAAGTTATTTGCATGTTGGAGACTTGGATATAAAACTTGCAGATATGTCCCTAGACTGAGGTCAGTAATTCTCTTCCATGTGTGCTCTGTGCTCTTTGTTGAATAATGTGCACATGCTGCCTGTGCCATGAAACCAAACCAAAAATAGCTTTTTCTAATATTCTCTACTCAAGTCTGTGCTGTGCTGCAGTTTGTGTGCAGTTTGGACAATGAACGTGACTTGCAACATTACAAAAATGAACTTTTGATGCAGTGTACAGCGGTAGTTTGTTTTGGTGAGTGACACTTACATGCACACACTCCTTTTTCGTACCTAGGCTTGTCTGAGCTGTAGTCGCAGTACAGTCCCTTGTGGTAGTCACACATGTCTGCCTCGTTGCACACCTCGCCCACCTGCCGGGCGCAGGTCTTGCAGCAGTCGCAGCCATCCATGAGGAGGCTTACACCTGGCGGGCACTTAGGGGGGGTCTCTGGACACTCGCAGGGCCACTTGCAGTACTGTGTGCAGTTGTACAGGTCTACAAATGGGGATGTGACAGCTGTGGCAGGCAGCATGGTGGTGGAATTCAGGGAGTAGGCCTGCAGAGAGGAAAGGGGAAAGAAAATGAGATTCCCAGTTCATATACTCTATATTTTATTAATCTAATATGTCCAATAGCTTTCACATCATGCGTACAGCTTATGTCACATCATCAAGCCTGAGCCTTTGTTACAGTGATTGCACAAAATAAGTCATCTGCAACTACTCTTTCAACCTGTTTGTCCGGAATTTTTTTTTATTGCACAAAAGGTATTTGACCCCTTGTGTGGGGGCAATATTTTTAATGCCCTTAATCATGATTTTTTTTTTCATCTAGCCCTCTTTGGTAACCATGTCTCAGCAAGTAATGGACTTGAAAGGTTTAAAATCCCTTACTTGTACACTTCTGCTTCAGTGCTAACATGTGTTCGTGCTGTGCAATAAATTAAATAAGACTATAAAAATGAATTAAACACCCAGTGGAGATAATCTTATTAAATCACCATCGCGCCCTGGTGTCTTATGTATTAACACTGGTTTCCGTTGCCATATTTCAAACAAGAACTGTGCTACTTACAGTTATAAAAATCCTGCCAATGAAATGAATTTCATCTCCCTTGGCATTATGACTCTTACAATCTGCTCTGTGTAGCCAAGATCACACAGTAAAGAGCTTTGCAGCTCTTAAAAGCAGATGTTCTCACAGCAACGCTGCACATAAGGCACATTAACAGCCCAGAGCTTAGAGGTTAGCTTTGGACAGAGAATGCATGAGCCTCAACTGATGAAAGTTTGGGAATGTGAATGTTTTTTGTTATTGTTTTTTGTAAAAAAATAATAAATGGTTGAGTCTGAACTGAATTCTTTTTGTTTTGAGAGCATGGTGTGCTTGAGAAAGGAGCAGGAAATGATCTCCAGGTTGTTACTTCGTGTGACAGAAACCGAAACTTCCCTCTCAGGGAAAGTGAAGTCATGTTGCATTTATGATGCAAATCGAGCAAAACTTCAAACGCAGATGAGTCAGTTTTGTAGCAATAATAAACCACAAAGGCTCTTTATGAATAAGACTTCAGCTGAAGCAGATACCGTGTCCATCCTAATTAAAAGTACAGTATGTGGTCGGGGCTGGGCGAGAAGTGAAACATATAAAATTAGCTCCAGTATTGTCTCTACAGCCATAAATACTTATAGCAGAGCTCTTAAATGGGGAGCTTGAAAGATACACGTGCGTGCACACTCTGTCCGCGGTTAACTGTGCGAAAAGATGCTTAATCATCTTAAGCACGGTGGATCCGTTTTCCTCGGCTTGTTCTCAGCACTTCAGTAGAATTATGGTCATATTAAAGATAATGCAGATGAACGACTTTTAGTCACAGTCGTGCCACAAAGCTGTTTTATCAAAAGACTTAATTTATTCTGCAGCCATGAGGCTAATTTGCAAAGTGGCATACATATTGTTCCCGCTAAGGAAATCATCACCCTGACACAGAAAAAGGAGATCATGGAAATCAAGATGTGAGTGCTTCATAAATTAATTATAAAAGCTGGGCTGGGATTGATACAAACATCTTATTGAAATCATTTATCTCTGATGAACACATTTTGCATGTAGGACATTTAACAATACCAAGACAGAGAGATTATTTAGTGAGCTATTTGTGGTTATCATCATCATCTTTTTCCCCCCTTTTTAAATGCTTTCTAACGTGACCTAAAATACTTGTCATATTTTTGTGGCAGCTGGTTACAAAGAGATTACAAGTGCTGATGACCCTGGCTCCACTCCTGGTTTAATCTCTTCTTCCTGTCAGCCTGCAGTCAGGTCAGATGACCCGCGGGGAGGTGTTGGCTTGATTTACCCTTCCTCAGAGCAGAGGAGAAAGGACTTTTCCCAGGGGAAACTGTCACTCAGGCGTTGTTGTTATTTCCCTCCAAACCACATGAGTTTATTATGCAATAATGAGAATATATTTAATACTGACTATTCACAACCACACTGTTTAGGGGTATATTTGACATTGATGCTGAATAACCCAAATCTTACAAAAACTAAGAATATCGCCGTGTTTAACGTGTTTAACACAAAATATCATTAATTTAAACACTCAGTTTCTGAGGTTAGACCACAAACTGATGTCTTTATGAGTAGAAAGGCTCTGAGGAGGCAGTGGGATACAAGAAAGCACATGAGTACCCCCAAATATCCACCAGGTGGCACTAAAATATAACCGAACGAGCCTAGACACAACTTTGAGCATCCCACAGTGCAAAATTAAAGCCAGATAACGGATAATAATAAATAAAGGATAATAGGATAATAAAGGACAACAATCAGTTTTTAAGCAGATTTTAATGGAAATATTTATTCAGCCAAAGGTTAAAAAAAACTATTTTTTTCTCTTTTTTTTTTTTTCTTTTGCCATAACCTGACGAATAAATGGGGGGGGGGCTAAAACGGAGGAAACACTGATTTCGTTTATTACGTTTAAATGAGCTTGTCGTATAGTGTATCTCAGCCTACCTTACTAACTTTAAAATAACCCCCTATGTCTTCTGCAACTTGCATTAAACGTCTGAGTTACATGCAACCTGGACGTTAAAAGAAAGAAAGAAAAACAAAAGACAAAAAGGTACTTTGGGAAATCTGTCCTCCATCCCACCTCTTGAATCCCGGCTGCTGTTACAATCCACAACAGGAGCCAACTCATCACTGGTGAGGAACTGCACACGCATTGAATCCAGAATTAGTTCCGTCTCTCAAACGCGCCACACGCCGCTCTCCTCAGGTGTGCTACATCCTCGTCCCCTCGCTGACATCTCGGCGCCCTTCGGTTTGCGCTGACAGCCTGTTAATAAGAGTCCGGACCCGCATAGCCTGCCCTCAGGTTTCCTCTCTTCCCCTCAGCTCCACTTTCACCCGAACCTCCTCTTCTCCAGAGCGCTGGCAGCTGTGGTGGTTAGGGCGTGTCTGGAATAGTCTCTGGAAGGACTCTGACACTCCTATTACTGCTGCTTAATTTAAAGGCTCCAGATATTTCCAAGTCAGTCTGAAAGCAGTGCGCGTATGCTTACGTAGGCTACAGAATCATTGCCCTCTACTCCACAAGTCATAATAAGTTCCTTTGAGGATTTCAGTGTAGTTAATGGGTCATTCTGCACAGGCAAAATAGAGATTCAAGTTACTGTCTTTGTTGCATGTGAGTCTCCTATTAAGATAGGCCTCACATACACAGACATTACAAATACAATCATGTAGTTTACACTGAGCCCTGGACTTTGTGTAATGCTCCCGATTTGGCTTCCTCTGAACTTATTTACTTCAGCAAACATATTTGGAATTATTTATCATGCGCCTGTCATTGCATGAGAGCATTTTCTTTTAACACCACTGTAACTACAGCAGGTCGCCTACCTCTCGCCCATTGTGTCTATTTTAAGGCTCCGACTGTGCCTGGCCTCCAGATGTTTAGTTTAAATCAAATGATGTCATCTATCTCACAGTCTGCTACTTTGCTTTCCTTTCATTTTTCTGGAAATTTGAATGTGTCACATTGAGGAGATGCAGGTGAGCACCAAATGCGCCATATGGAAACTCTTGTATTTGAGTAGTGCTGCACCTTTTACCACAGCACCTTTTGCTTTTAGTCTGCTGAGTCTCACCCAGAATAACCAAACGTCTGTGAGAATTCGACCCCACAGGCAACAGAGAGAAGGAAAGAGTGATGGATGAGAAATGAACACTTTGTCAAAGAGCAAAGTGCCCCAGGTCTGAACCCCTATTATTTACAGGCAGTCGTCTAATCCCTGTCATAGAGCTGTCAGCTTCTGGACTGATCTGAGCAGGCTTTCCTCTTTGCCCTGACCAGGATGACCCGCCCCATCCACAGCACAATGCACTCTGTCTCTCTCTTCTTTCCTTACTCTAAAACTCAGCTTCTCTTTACTTTCCATCTCTGCTGGTCTCCCCACCTTCTCATCCTTACTCCTGCTGAAGCAGGGCTGAAGCCCGTTAACCTCCAACCTCCAATTTCAGTTGTTATCAAAGGTTTTTTCCCCATCATCTAAGATTGTGTATCTTTTCATTTCTTTCGTTTCCTAAGACATTACCTTTGTCTTTTTTTCCTCTTTGAAAGCTGTGAGGTAAAATCTTTCATGAGTAATGATGGGGGAATTCAACACTGTAAGAAACTAGTGCTGATATTAATTATTGCCTTTAGGTGGCAGTCAATTAAAGTAGACACTGTGTGGGTTCATGGTCACTTTTAGGAACCATTTTCAGCGAACGCAGCTTTTGCTCCATCCATAAAGGTCAGCTAAAAATGTACCAGAAAAAGAAAGAAAATTACATATATAAACCACACCTGCATATAAAACACAGACAGAGCCATGCTGAGGTTTTCCACTAGGTTTAGATTCTGCATTTTAAAGTCAGGCTTTTATCAGTGATTTCTATCAGTGAACTATAGCAAAGCTACTGAGGCTACAGTCATGTGAGGAAAGAACGTGCACCCTCTTTCAATTCCATGGTTAATAAAACAAAATAATCCTCTGGTCCCTCTCGAAATTATTTAAATACAAACTTTATTATATATTATGTTATTTATTGAACAAAAAAGACGATGAAGAAGCAGTGTGTGACAAAGTATGTGGCATGATTCAGGACCTCGTAGAACCACTTTTCTCAGCAATAAGTTAAAGAAATCATTTCCAGTGTGACTTCGACAGTCTCTCACATCATTGAGAAATAATTTTGGTCAGTTGTTCTTTACAACGTTGCTTCAGTTTTTGAGGTTTGTGGGCATTTGTTTATGCGCAGCTCTGTCAAGGTCCCGCATCAGCGTTTGAGCAATTGGGTTGAGGTCTGCACTCTGACAGGGTCATTGCAACACTTTGATTCTTTCTTTTTCAGTTCATGGTTGATTCAGTGACAGCAAGGTGCCCGAATTATCACCCGTCCACCACCGTGCTTCACCGTTTATGTCTTGATCTTTGTACTGATGTTCTGTGTTTGTCTTTTGCTTAATGCAGCACTGTGCATTATGACCAAACACTTGGTCTCCACTTTGGTCTGGTCTGTCCAAAGGACGTTGCTCCAGAAGTGTTGTGGTTTGCTCAGATGTAGTTTTGCAAACGTAAGCACTGCTGCCAGGTTCTTTTAAGAGAGAAGATGCTTTCCTCTGCAAACACTTGCAAGCAAGCAAAACTTGTTCAGGCGTTTTCTAATCGTATTGTGATGAAGTTTAACATTAAACATGTAGATTTTAGGTGTGTTGGAGCTTCTCTTAGCGTGACACGCTCTGACCTTGAGATGAATTTGCTGGGACGACTGACAGCTGTCTTCAGTATTTTCTAGTTATGAATAGTCTTTCTCACTGTATAATGACAGTGTAAAATTTCATGTGTTATTCTAGGACATTAGTTCTTAATGTCCTAATAAGGAAACCTTAGATCTGAAAAGGCGTCTTTCACTTTCACATGACTTTATCTCAACAGACGCTGTGCTAGTGGCAGAGTGTATCCTGGATAGGGTTAGAAGTCTATCACTAACGCAGTGATAACACAGGAAGACATTTACAGCCATTCACACTCACATCTACACCTACAGCCAGTTTAAAATTACCAGTTAACCTAACCTCCCTACAAACCAAGAACCTTCTTGCTGTGATACAACCACAATGCCACCTTCAGGGTCTAAACGATTTGTTCATATTTCCATTTTACTCAGTGTTCCAGCTTTCTCTGAAACACAGGAATCTAAAACCACTTGTTTAGCATCATTTAGACAATTCTGAAGTTGTACTTTTCCAAGAAATTCTTTTGATTCCTTTTTTCCCTTTCATGGCTTCCTTGTGTATAACAGTGATCTGTAAGGAACTACTGTACCATTACCCTGACGAGATCAGGACTCAGGCTTAAATGTGTACTTATGCAGTTGCATAAGAGACAAGTAGTAGAAATCATAGAACTTACAAAATCCATTATACATGGTTGTCTTAATTTCACAAGTTAATAAGGCCAAAAGCAAAACTATAGACCCCAAAAAATGCTGTTTGCTCGTTGTCTTCATTAGTGCTCCTGATGCTTCTCTCTTTAATTCTCTAAAACTAACACAGGCTGCCTCTTTGAACAATGCAAAACCTCTTCTGAAACAATTCAGAGAAAGAAAACGAGCCGTAGCTTGTTCGTGCTCTCATGTTTCATGTTTGCATTTGTCTTCTATTTTCGGTTCTGATATGGTAACTAACCTATAAACGGACCAACAGCAAGAATAATTAGATGTTTGAGTAGTATGAGCTCAGTAGTGTACTACTTATTTTTGCATGTTGAGGTCAATTGAACAGAAATAGCTAAAAATGAAAACCAGGTCTGAGGTGACGGCTGCTCTGTTTTCAATGTAGCTCCGTGTTCTCGGCTCACTTGAATTATGGGTGTTCAATGACTCAGATGGTGCTAAGAGGCGGGGGATCTCAAACATTTTACAAGTAACAGCCTTTATTTGTGAGCCACACCCAGATCAAACCTGCATTTATAAAACTGTACAATTCTAAAAATGTGATATGTGTATTTTTCCCAAGAGCTTTGCCTTAATAAGGATAAACAACTGAAGAAAGAGCTGCTTTAAAAGCTTTATAAGTGGACATCACCGCCTTAAAGGCTTCAGAGCAAGTCAAGCTGTTTCCTAGTGTTTCAAGTCTTTAATGTAATCTAAATGTGGCATTATTGCTTTAATCCCAACATGCATTAAGCAGGAAACAGACACATTTCTGTCACCCATTCATGCAAATTCAGTCTCAGTTTGTGTCATTGTGTATTGAAATCCTTGACAGAAACATCTCCGAACACAACTATTGCTGACCCACATTATGCCCTCTATTATTACCCCAAGTGTCATGTGGGTGAGGTAGTTCAGGTTAAAAAAAAGTGTGACAGATGACCTGATTATAGAAACTGACCATCTACCACTCAAGTCCTGCATAGCTGGTCAAACCGAAAATCCCCTCATTAAAATCCCCTCATTAAAATCCCCTCAACTCCCAGAGAAGCCTTGAAGTCAAACCATGTTTTGGAAATCTTACAGCTTCAAAGTCAAGTGGAGTCGGTAATCCTCCTTAGAACGGGAGAATGAGTTTACAACACCTCGAGGCGAACAGACACCACTAAGGTGATGCATAAAAAAGTTCTTTCGTGGTACAGTACATGTGTGGGAACATTTTCCTTTGTAGCTACTGGCCTCAAAATCAAAGACATACAGACTGCACTTTCAAAAAAAAAGGTTAAGAGGTCATTAAAGTTAGAGTAACTTTAGCAGCAATAAATAAAATCAAATAAGAATAAAGAGATGATCATTCTGAACAAATGTGCTTTTTAAACAACAGGCTGAGATTTTGTTTTTCTTTCCGCTGGCACTTCAAAGGTGCAATATGTACGATTATCACCTGAAGCTGTCACTATAACCACCTAGCACTATAAGTAAAAGTAACTAAGCACAAGTTATTTATATAAAGCTTTTAAAGAAAAGAACCAGTCACAAGGTGCTTTGAAATGAGAACACCTGGACTAAAGCCCGACTGAATTTATCAGCGTAGTTTCCAGTCAGTTTGGTTTTTGGCCCATAACACCGCTTGCTGCACTTATGTTTCCTCTCTCGTTGCTCTCAACATCCCCTACCCTGGGAAACAGTGAGCGATAAGGGCCCCAGCATACCCACCGCAATCGTCGCTTTGCATGCTGCACACACTCGCTGCAGTATTCTCCTGAGCGACAGGTATCAGGCAGCACTGACACAGCGCTGGTATATGAGCAGAAGGAATTTCCCACAAAGTCTCATCTTTTCAAACTGTTGCAACATCTCCCCTGTAAAGTGTGAGTCTCTGAGCTTCTGCATCGATATATCGCAAACCAACACGATCGTACAAGGTGCCAGGTTACAAAAATCGAGAGAACCAGCAGAAACAGCAGCG